TTTTTTCCCCCGCCGCGTGCCTAGTAGTAGTAGCAATGATAGTGGCAGCAGCAGCAGCAGTAGTAGCTTGAAAAATACCACTAGTATCCACTAGTGACCGAAATAATCATGGAAGTCGTTATACAAGTGGTGGTGGTGGTGGCGCTAGAGGTAGCGGGAGTAGCAGTGGCAGTGGTCGTCCTGTGATGTTCGCGCAAACTGCTCGTTCGAGGCCTCCAAAACCTCATCAAATGATAACGGAAGAGCACAGGAAACAGAAGCCCTCCGAGGGCCGGAATGGAGTGGGTAGTAGTAGTGGTAACAGTAGTGGTACTGATAGTGATAATGATAGTGATAGTGATAGCGACAGCCACCGCAGCAGCAAGCGAAAGATAAGTGGCAGTAGTAGCGGTGGTAGTAGTAGTAGTAGTAGTAGCAGCAGCAGCAGCATCATGGGGAGCGGTGAGGAAGGAGTCGGCAACATGAAGGAATATTGAGGCTGTCCCCGTGTTGCATAACATCTGGCGATTTCTCGCAAGGTCCCCATCACAGCAATTCTCCTTAACGTCCGTACGCTCTTTGTGCCCTCTTCGTGACTGGACTTCTTGCAGGTAAATCAGAGGAGGCCCTGCAATGCTTCTTGGGGTCTTCTAGGAGGCTTTTCCAACAAAAGAATCCTCACTGTAAGGCGCCCGATAGAAAGGGTCATACTTCTGAGACATGCCCTTCATTGTCAGCGTTGAATGACTGAAGGAACTAACCACGCAGGAAAGTAGACCTCAGTCATGAGAACACTCCGTCTCAACCCCAACCCTAAACAGAGCACATGTAAAAAGAAGGGAGTCTACCAAACATACTGTTCCAAAAGTGACAGGAATGAATAGCTTCATCATCGAAACCCAATCATAGCGACTTGCGCCATGTTTGCCTGCTTGTCATCCCGAAATGGCTTCTTTCTGGAAAAATCGCCTTTCAAAGGATTTTAAGGACACATGTACTCCTTCAGAAAAACCCTAAATTTGTATGCCTCGGGCGCCCAAGTTGAAATCTAAGTTGAAACATCCCAAGAGAACCTCCAACTTGTTCTTTGAGGCTACACCCCCGAGCCCGAAAGCTCGAAAACCCTACAGTTTAAACCCTCAACCGTTCGCTCTTAACTCTAAACCCTAAACCCTAAACCCTAAACCCTAAACCCTCAACCCCTTCAGCCTAAGCACCTTAGACCCTAAAACCTTAAGCCTCTCCCTGAAGCCCATGCTGTGTCCTGCCTGGATCACCTATCAAGGAGAGCACCTCCTTCTCTGTAGTGTAGACAAGGTTCCACGTTCCTCCAAAGAGTTTCGGGCTTAGGAGATAGATTAGGAAACCGGATTTAGAGCTTCAGAATTAAGATATGTTAAGATCTAAGTGCAGAGAATCCTTCTCCGAGTCTAGGGAGACCAACTTTTGCCCTGGCTTCCGCATAATGCCTCCCGACTTTGATCACTTACCATAACGATTGCCACTGAGCATCTCCACATAACCCCTAAACTCTTGTCAATACCCTGTTCCACAACTCTAGAAATGGCTCAAGCCCTAAACCCTAAACACCCTCCTACTGGGTTGCTGTTAAGG